CAAAAAAAAAAAAAAATAGGAATGAATGAAAATGGAAAGGTATATTAGTTAGCATTACTAATGGATGTGTTTCAAGGTCTTCTTATCTTTCGGAAGAGTGAAATATATGTTGAATAATTTCTCAAGAGCATCCCAGTTTGTGAACTTCTGTATGTATTTGGGTGTAAACTAGGCAGCATCTCTGGGTATTATGGTTTATATTTTATTTTCTCTCCAGCAGATGGAATCATAGTGTTGATTTTTAATTAGAGAAAACTTAGTTTGTGATGTTGATAAGGAATATAGCCAGGGTTGCTGTATCTTGCTACTTCTATTGCTTTAAGGTTTCATAAAGTATTTGGAGATGTTAGCAGATGTCTTTAAAGGAAGTTACCAAGATGACACATTGCTAAGAGTGAAATATAGATTAATTCAGAAAGGAAAAACTTGTAGACAATCGCATTATCACCCTAGTTGCGCTTTTCTCCATATAGCTGGTTCTCGCGATGCGTATTTCAAGATCGAGGACAAGAGCTGGTGGATGGGCTCAAAGTCTGCTTGCAAGGTTAGTCTCCTGAAGCTTTTCCATTATGGTTTCTAAACTGGGGTTTTCAAGAAATTATCCTAAGAGCTATGTTACTGAAAAATATGCCCAGCATTTGGAAAAAACACAGCATTTGTGTTGTAAGCATGAATTCATTTAAAACTTCTCTGGCTTTCTTTCAGCTGCTCTGAGGGCTTGGAATAGCTGCAATGAATACATGCCTAGTCGAATTTTTGTGTATCGGGATGGTGTAGGAGATGGTCAGCTTAAAACACTGGTTAACTACGAAGTACCACAGTTTTTGGATTGCCTAAAATCTGTTGGTAGGGGTTACAAGTAAGCATGCAAATTGTAAAGCATTTTCTCTTTTTAAAGCTACACCTTTTTATCTTTCGAATTAGTGTCACAAGATAAAAAGGTAAGTGGGAACCTAACTTGATGGGTGCAGTAGGGCTTTTGTGGTAATGGCAGGGGCAGAGGGATGTGTTCGTCGGGGATTTTTTTTCACAAGGGAGAGGCTGGGTTGACTGCTAGGGTAGTGTCATTCCTTCAAGGAGTAGGACATTAAGACCCCCATTGCCAGTCCTCTGTCTGCCGCCTTTCTCTCCTGAACCCTTGCAGTGCAGGTATATGATGATTCCGTACACGCATATAGGCATCCACAGAATTGGTTATTGGAGTAAATATTCCAAATAGTCTTAACTTACTGAATACGTGTTTCACTTCCTTGTGGACTTGACTCACGATGTACTTCATCAGTAGGGTGATTGGCAAGTGTCTAGTCTTGCCAGGAGATGGAGGAGATGGTTTTACTTTCTCCTCTTAGATATCGTGGCCAGCCAAGCACGGTGCTGTCTGCATCCGATGCTGCACTTGCTGTCCTTCGTGAACCATCGTGGCTTTTGCCTTCCTCTGCTCTCCCAAAGACGTGACCATCAGTGCCAGGGGACCGTAGAAATGCATACCGTTTCCACACAGCTGTTCTAATAAGTACATTGTTTCCCTTTTCTATTTCTCTTTATCAGATCTGTGAGCAATTTGAGATCAGGGATGTTGTAGTAAGGGCTAACTGCATAATATTAATAGATTAAAGATTTGCAGATTTGGTTTTTAGGATTATTTTGAAAATCTTGGAAGCTTGTTTGTGTGTGCTTGCACATGCGTATTCAAACACTGATTATGCTTGCCAGGCCTTTTCAGTCAGCATTTTGTATCATTATAGAGATTAGGATTTTGAAAGCCATTGGCCATTCCTGGCCTTGGTCTGGTTTTACGTGGTATGTGGGATCAGCATCAAGAGCGTGCTTCCTCCTAGCTAACCAACAGGAGGGTGCTTCTGGGTCATCTCTGGCCAAGTCCTAAAAGACCCTCTCCAATAACTTTACCCTAGACATTTTTAAAATGAGGTTTTATGCCATTAAATTCTCAGAGTAAGGGGTGTTTTTATCTTTCTTGAAATAGTTGTGTTTCAGATTAAATGGCTAAACATTTTTTAATATTTTGAAAAGGAAGGTTAATATTTTCTAGCCCCTTAAAACTCTTAACGCTTGTATCTTTCTCAAATAGTGTTTTTGTTTGTTTCGAGGTTTTTGTAAGCCTTATTTTATATGTTTCTCTTAGATTTTCTGTCAGTATGGGGAGGTAGGGCGTGGCCGCAGGCAGCAGAGCAGGGTCTAAGATGGAGTGCCGCTTTCTTAGTCTTCTTTCCTGTCACTCACTACCTGAGCACTCTGCATTTTCTAGTCTTCGTTACCTTTTTCTCGTACCCAGAGTGAAGGAAATTTTCAAGAAGTGAGGAATAGAGGTAGCAGTGCAAGTTCATCTTATTCCCTTGAGCTGGATTTTTGGACTACTGGAGTATACACTGTTGGCCTTGCTGGGGCTGCATCTCTGGTTCCTTGAGTCCTTTGGGTTCGATTCCCAGAACGATTGGCAGAAATGCCTCCTGAAAAGGAGATTCTGGCCCCAGTGAGTGAGTCCTGTGAACAGTCATCCTTGCGTGCAGTGTTGAGCCTGGTGCAGCTGCGGGGTGCAGCTGTGGGGTGCACCTGCCGGCTCCTTTAGCTAATAGGAATACACTGTGGCAGGGAAGGGGAACCTAAATGGATTGCTTGGGCTAACACGTGACTGTTGCATGAAGTTGACTTCACATCGAATTGTGCTGTTGTCTGGTGCCAGGAGAGATTCATGGTCAAGAGCAACGTGTCTTAACGTCAGAGTGGGATTGATCCCAATTTGCCTTCATTTGTAGAATAGGGGAAACAATTAAGGTGTTGAAATGAAATGTGTGTAATGCACTTCACACCAGATCCAGTAAGCACTCAATAAATGGTAGACAGTTCTTCCAGAAAAAAACTTCAAATTGTATATAAAACACCTGAGAATTAGTCCTCACTTGGATTGAGAAATGCAAAGCTTGGATTAAATATTTGCAGTTGTCCTTAGAAGCACAATGTGTGCTTTTAAATTGAAATGCTGACTTTAACATTTAATGTTGAAATGTTGATCTGCATGAGTAGAGGATATTTCTAAAAATGTCCTCTGTTTATTTAAGTAAAATCCCTTTCCTATCCCCTCCATATTTGGCTACTACTACCACGAAGGAGCTGAATTAGGTTTATCATTGAACAGAAGTTCCCATTCTGGGCCTTTTGACCATTAGTCTAGGCAGCACACTCTAAATATCTACCCTGCTTAATCTTCACTGAAAAACATCAGCAGAATTGCTGAGTCAGACATTGCTAGGTTCCCTACTCTGTGCAGAATGCTCTGCCTCCCAGGGTTTGGAATCGAGTGCATCTGTACTCTTAAGCAGCTAAGGCTGTAGTTGGAGAAATGGAGGTGCTGATACTTGTGACCTTGATCAAGTGCTGACTCCCTGCCAGTGCTGTTCTGAGTGCCTTACCTGTGCTACTTCATAGATTCCTAAGTGGATTGTGTGCACAGGTGTGACTGTCTCACAGGGACTTGAAATGAACCTTTAAGAGGAGGGTAGAAGAGGGTGT